CCTAAGCGACGAAAATGTTTAGGTAATTTAGCCCAAGATTAGGGGACTCTTTACCGAGTTTATTTTGGCATCCTCTCTTCTAAAAGTCTCAAGTTTTCTTGCTCCCTGAGGTGAACTAATTCGGGAACAATCACGTCTTAGACGCCAAGATCAATATCAACTAGCATATCACAAGAAGGATCCAGGTTAACAGGTCACATGCTCAGCTATGGAAAGGTCCCCCCCTGGTCCTGCTTCAGACTACCCAGGATCTGAGCAAGAACCCCATGTCGATTGGCTTTAGATATATTTCTCCGGGGTCGTTATGCCGTTAGATAAGCTTGATATGTCCATTGACTCAGATATTTGACATCAAACGGGGCGTTCGTTTCATCCATGGGGCAAACAGTCACTGGACATCTTTCCCATTGTGGACAGCCGGGCAATAGTTCAGTAGTAACAAACTCATGCATGCAAAACCACGCTGCATCGTGGGCCTTCTATTTATTCATGTGCTTGTCTAATCAATCCTGAACCCTGTAAGCTGTTACAAGCCAAAGCGTGCAGCAGAACTTTCTCATGTTTCTGGTGAATAACAGGATACTTAACAAGGTATTTCAAGTCTGATTTGCGCAAAAATTAAACCAAAACCAACAAGCACAGGTACTTATCTAGTTCTGAGAAATAATGCCGGTAACGATTTTGGTTGATGAATTAGCAGAAAGGTGCCATAGTTGAGTTACAGGTAATTGTGACAGCAGGGCCTCTTGAGTCATATCAGAAGGGTAGCCATGTGAAACATGAATCAAGTTGGCCTGGTGAGAAATCCAGCAACTGCCTAGTACCCACCAAGTCGTGAAAAGTCTAGAACGTGACACTCACATGAAAACAACATTTAGCAACTGCGTTGTGAATACAAAACATAGTATAACGTGCCGTCCTATCCGGCCTCGAGGGGTATGAGAACTGATTTCGCGAGTGCGGGCGTGACCTATTACTGTTTTTGGACTGCGAATTGCATCTCGTAAACTCTGCGATGCGGTGCAATGCAACTCATGCGCACGGCCCATCGCTAGGGCGGCAGAACGGGTTGTGGATAGATACATGGGTGAATGTGGCCGCATACCCCTGGAGGCTCAATCCATCAGCGGGCAGGTAGGGACCTTTGTACAGACTACAGACTCTTCGTAAATCGACCACCGGGCTATCCCTTCACTCCTCACTTTCAAATCTGAACTGGGTCAGAGTCAGGGTCTGCGATGTAACGGGATCAAGTCTATCGCCAGTAAGGTAGGCTTGGAGACAGAAAGGGGCATGCAGCCCACAAAGCGAGATCCAACATATGCCCGCTTTCGATACCAAGAGCCCTTCGACGAAGTTGCAGCACTCGGACATATTAATGGGACTAGTGTAACAAAATGCATCTGGCCAGACCGAGATCCCAATTCGGCAGATGTGCACGAGATTTACGTAGAGGCTTCAACGACTGCATGCGACTCGACCAATAACATGTTGTAGATTTTTTTTTGACAACATGACACCCTATGCAGGAGGCTCACTAGCCCAGGGCACCTCTGATGCAGAACCGACGATTCGCGCCTTTTCTCCCTCTGGTCGGGTTTGATGCTCTTTTTGGGGCCGATATCGCCCCATTACGCCGAAGCGATAGCAGTTCCTTGAGACGGATTTTTCAGCCGCCTGAAGCTAATTTGTCGCTGGTCCGAGAAAGCTGAGTCCTTGGGCTGAGGTGGAACGCCCAAGTGGATTCAAGGGTGTTTTAGCTTACAGTCTTTGAGCCTCAAGGAATAGGGCGAAAGACCAACGTCTTCTGCCGTTCCAATTGAAGGCACTAGCTAGACATTCATGTACATCCAAACTGGATGCGACGCTGGGAGGATGATCTGGGAATTATTGTTGAACTAGCGACACTTGGGTATTTTGGGCGGATAAATTCGAGGGCGATCCGCATCGATCTCTGGAGGCAAGTGTCCTTGTCTGTATTATGAATTACAGGGCCACAGTGTCATTCCCAGCTGCATGTCTGTTTGTAATTCTTCTTATCCAGAGCATTATATTCTAACTTAGAAGAAGGCCTCGTTGTGCCCCCTGGCATGAAAAGAAATGCATTCTGACCACTAAGCACTCTACTTCTGTGCTAGCAACTGAATTTTGGTTGTTCCTGGTGAGTTGCTGATAGAATTGACTTTTAGGTTGTGTAGGCTTTTTTTGATCGTTTGTGGTGGAGAAGTTTTCTCAGTGGAACGGCGGCTTAAAAAGAGCCAGGCCTCTCCAAGTAGAAGCGTGAGGGGAATTCTGGTGTGATTATTTATTTACCCCAGCAGCCAAGGAAAAGTCGACAATCTGGGCAGGGATACTGTCATCCCCATGTCTCGTAGGCGTTCTACCATTCGGAGGGACCTGCCAAGCCTTATTGTCGACACGACAGAGCCAGTAGAGGCAGCACATGGTCCTTGCTGGTCTGGAGAATGGAGGAACTACCTTATCGCGCTAATGCTTTCTAAGCGAAGCACTATGACGGAACAAACTTCAACCCCAGGGCTGAAGAACAATGAAGAAGCTGTAGAGGTTGCGCATCAGTCAGACCGTTTTACTGTAAGCCAATGCATACTGAAATAATGTTGCATCCCATATGAAATCATCCAAGCCCTAGACCTGCACGATGATGGTCAAGACTAAGTTCGACCGGAGAGAATGACGAGGGCACGCCACTGTCCATGCGAAAAACGATCCATAATATGACAGACAAGGATGCGTATATCCGTAATGCATGGGTTCTGCCTAGACTCCTTGTCTGGCGTCAACAGACAGGGAAAAGCTGGACCGAGCCAACTTTCCACGAGCCGCGGAAGCGAAGCGAAGCCAAGCTAACAAGTCGACGACGTACAAGAGAAGGCAGGACAGGCCAAGGTTCCATGAGGACGAACATACTATGGACATGGAACTGCATAGATGCTTTCCAACAACAAGCAATGGAATAAGCTTTCGAGTCGAGGCTAACTGCTGGCTGCTACGTTAGTAAGCTGGGAGCTGGGAGCTGGGAGCTGGGCGTTTGAGCCTCGAAGGCACTTTGTTCTTTTTTAAGTTCTCGCGTGACCAGTAACGATCACTTGGTTGGTACCGACGCTGAGGTAATGCCCGGAGGATCGGAGATGTCTTGCCTACACTCTAAATCAATTCCGCACCGGTAGTAGTGAAAGTGGCATCACTGAGAATCATTGACGAATATTACGGTCTCGGCTGTTCTGCACTGTGCTCGTCTTGATTACTGCAATCTGCTTGTCGTTATTCCACATGGAATCCTCGGCGCCGGCGACGTCTTGATGTAGAAGTCGGTAGGCAAGGTAGGCACCCCAATGCAGTGTAGGTACCTTCTATCTCAGGTACCCGTTATTGCCTCTGGGTTCTGACTCGGTTGAGAAAAACAGGGTGGCTATGGCTGCGGCTGCGACTAATACCCGTACGGCACAGTACAGACAGACAGTTGTGTCGGCAACTCATTAATTCTGCACAGGAATATCATAACTAATTAATTATAAATGACTGGCTATCGGGCCTCGACTCATCCGAGTGGTTACACAGCGTGCGGCGGCAACTTGACAAGTCGTGTTTGTGGACCAAGATATGTACGTCCGGATAATATGGATGAGAAAAGAAGGGCGTGAAGAGTTTCCCATCCAGGCAACTTAGCCATTGTTATGTTCCCACCGGTGCCCTGCCAACTTATAAGTTATGGTACGTAATGGGAGGAACTGTACTCCGTATTCACTGAGTTGCTATAGCTCCTTGCCTAGAGGAAAGCTTAAGGTAGGTCGGCATAGTAGAGGTAAGGTTGAGCGGTATCTAAGGTATGGATGTTTAATTCGAACTTCACTGGGAGGAACTGAACTTATCAAAAAGAAACTTAGCCGGATGCAGGCAATAATACCTGGCCAAGGTACAGTGAGATGATAAGGTGGCACAGTGTGCAAGAATACCGATACCGACACAGATAGGTACCTACTTGCTACCTGAGGTGATTGTACAAGAACTCAAGAGATGCATAAGTTTGGGGATTTTGCACAGTGGTAGCCATGGCCTGATGCTTGATAGAATAAAAAGAGGTACTTGCTGCAATTCATGGGTAAAGCAAGGGGAAGGATCATTATTTGTCTGTAGCCCAAAAGAGGACCAAGTATATACACACTGTATGCCTGTATGCCGCGGCCACCACGTTTCCCAAGTCTCTTGCACCAAACTCAATTTCTGATATGCCGAAGCCCAAGAGCCGAGACTTCTGCACATCGCCCAACTTCTCAGTTGAACTTGGCCGCTAGCAATGAAGGATAAAGTTCTCCTCGGTAACGACACTGTGCAGTATAGAATGCACCGTGATCTATACACGCGAGAATTGGACATTCTTTTGCTAATGTTTGTTATCGCACCTAACTGTTTGTTATCTTTACCCCTCAGCGTTTCTCCCAGTGTCCTTTGGCTTGTTAAGCCGAGGCATGATGAGTTCCCTGCAGATTATTGCCAAAAGGTCCAGATCATGGCAACGATATCTGCATTCCGTCCTATCAAGTATCCGGTTTCAATTGTTCCAACGTCTGGACGGGGACCCTTGATCCTTTTGGCCCCTCCCGAGTCCCTCCACTCCCCCCTCCTTCTCTCCAGCACCCGTGAACCCACCACCCCATCCGTCAGGTCAACAGGGGCGTTGTCGCTCTGGATCGCTGTAGCACGTAATGCAACCTGCTGCGGTGCCCACTATAGCACTGTTACGCTGCAGAGAGATGCAGATTGCTCTTCGTTGCGCTACTGGACGCTCCGCTATGCTCTGTACGATGGATGGATCATGCCAAGTCCAGGGATCTTGTCCGGGTGGGCGTTACCGATGCATGCGAAGCACGAGGCGAGTGGATGAGCTCGACAGGAGTGGTAAGAGGCGGTACAAGGGTGAAGAAAGAGCGAATGGCTGATTCAAAGATATAAACTTGCAACGTTTCCCACGCCTCGCCGTCAATTTTCTTCTAGCTTGTTCGCTCACTAGAACTTTCCAGATCGCTCACTCACTTGTCTGCTCCTTTCAACAAACGTCGGTTCATCGACTCAACGAATCTCACGAAAGAGGCAGTGGGTTTCCTCTGGCTGACATCAGGCTGCCTGGAATTGTGCTGTCTGATAAACCGAGATTTACCAAGAGACCGTGTCTATCACCGAGACGATACTACCTAGCCCAGAAACATTTCTGCTTTGGTCGTTGTGTTTGGCTTGCTTGTTGATTGTGGTGAATCTTGACATTTGTTGTCTATCCAAACTGCTGAGACTCTTATCTCAATACGAGGGACTATCCTTGTCAGGATTGAGTTCGAGGCTACTGTCTGTCCATTCGTACACCATCTGCGCCAGCCACCAGTCAGAGACTTTGATCAACAGGAGCATATGATAAGGAGCACGGTAGAGCCCGACTTCTTTGTCTTCGCCCTTCCTTCGCGAGACAATTGCAGCTACTTGCGAGGTTCTCTTCTGCGAAGTTCCTTTCGAGCAACCGTCGCAGCGCCAACGCCCGCAGAAACTGTCCCGGGTCAAGGACTAAAACAACCTGGCTCCTGGCTAGGTCACTGTCTAGGCCGGCCCCACCCAATTGCTTTTTGGGCGTTAAAGATCCATTGCCCGTCCTACCACGACAAGCTTTAATCTTTAAATTGGATCTCGAAGCGGGCTGTGTCTCGAGCCAAGCAGGGTGTGCTTCATACCTACTTAGTACCTTTCCTACTACTCAGAGTCATATTTGGGTACGTCATTTCCTGCTTCCAATTGACATCTTCGTTCCTCACATCCTCCCCTGTCTCCCACAGACAAATGAGCTACTCTGTTTCACTTGAGGACCAAATATCGTGATTGTCTTGGATTGCGCATTTGACTTACAACCCATTCTGCTCTGTAGGTATAAAGATATCAAGATCCACCTTCCTCAATTAAGTTTTCAGTTCGGCGTTGAGCAGCATCTTCCGCTCGCTTCTCCCGCCAACTCAGCTCAATTCAGTTCGACTTGATTCGATTTGAACCTTCCTCTACGGCTCGCATCTGTACTCAAAGGCCTCACCCGCACATAAGGAAGGGACAGGTAGCAGGGCGAGCTTGAGAATAGGTGATATCAATCGTCCGCTCTTTTCTTCTTCTTCTTCTTCTTCTTCTTCCTCCTCTCTCTCTGTCGTTTTAGTTGACGTCCGTTCCCTTGATTGCCGAATTTTGTTCTTATTGATCAGACATGAAGTTTGGCGACCACCTCGAAAGAGAGTCTGTTCCAGAATGGAGTCTCCGTAGGTTTTAATGCTCTCCGTCGAAACCATTCCGGTATACTGACCAATTGCTTCTTGATGTAGATAACCTCGACTACAATTCCATTAAGCATGAGATCAAGATGCACACGACGCGCGACCAGGCCACGGCTATGGCCATTCCCGGACAAAAGGATGAGGCTCTTTCGCGATTCGAGGATGGCTTATACATGGAGCTTGATCGTCAGCATGAAAGACTGCAGTTATTTGTTTCAAGCAAAGCAGATGAGATTTCGCGCCGATTAGGTATGTCGTGGACTTGTAGTTCTGCGCCACGTCTTGAGTGGCACGCGACCACATGCCAAATCTAACACCTCCATAGAATACCTCGCCAAGAATATCGATCGTTGGGCATCAAAGAACCAGGAACAGCTCGCCGGTGATTCTGCCATCAAGCACCACAGACGTTTCACCAAGTACGAGCGTGAATTGGTTCGTTGTGGTAGTGACATTCAATCCCTCGAGCGCTTCGTCAAGGCTCAGACTGTCGCCTTCCGCAAGATCACCAAAAAATACAAGGTACGTCATCATGACTGCTTCGTGTGAATTTGACATCTGGATGAACGTAGTGACTGATCACTCACTTACAGAAATGGACCGGCTCTACAACCCTCGGTATTCGTCTCTATGAGAACGTTCTCTCCGATCCGAAAAGTTTCACTCGCCGTGACTTTTCCTCCTTACAACAACGTTATGACGACATCACATGCACACTGAACGCTGCCGCTCCCGCATTGAGCGAACCTAGCTCACCAGAATCCCAAGCTCAGTCATACCGACGTCAATCTCTTTCAGGATCTCTCAACTCGACAAATCGTCACCCCACCAGCCGCGCTCAACCTACGTTCGATTTCTTGCCTCCACCGCAGATGGAAGAACCTGCCAAATACTGGAACGAATATGACAATGGAAGTGAATGTGCAGCTGATGATGATGGATATGCTATCTATATAAATCCAGATGAAAGCACTAGTTTTCCGGGATTCGGCTACCTGCAGAATATCTTCAAAGCACCCATGAAGAAGGCAAGGGGTTGGTTCAAGCGCAACAACACCCGGGAGCGCCAGTCTCTACTTGGTGCCAATCATTCACCTTACCAATACTCCAGCACGACCTTCAACAGCAGCGAGTCGGACGAGGAAGCAGGATATGCTAGTTCAGATGGCTTCCCCGCGACTGGATATGCCACACACTATGCCCTTCCCAGCCTAAATCAACAGCAAGCGCATTTGTACCGTGAGAAGACCTTGTTTTGGGGTACGATTAGCTCCTTTGCCGTGTCTTTCCTGCTCCTCCTCGTCGCCGGCACGCTTATTTCTACCGGTCGACACAGGCTCAGAGCTGAAGTTGACGCGGGCGTTACTGTTGGCGTTGTTGCGAGCTTGTTCACCGCCTGTAGTGCCCTCGGTATGACGCTATACCGGCACGACCGACTGTCATTTCCACATCTACTGGCGGTTTGGACTACGTTCGTCGCATCATGTATCCTCAATGGCATGCTGCTGATTTTGGTCGTGGGAAACTCCCCGTAATGCGTAAAGGACAAAAGGTTATCCTGAATCCATCGAACCTTCATGATCTCAAAAAGACTGAGCCACAGTTGAGACGCTTAATGTTTGCATGTGAGCGATTATTTTGATGGATTGTGTTATTTGTTGAGCGTTTTCCAAGTTATAGGAGCGATGCTTGGGCATTTTGCTTTCCACGCCGATAGACTGAGAAGCCGGCCGTCTGGTTGGAGGTGGCGTGTACTATGATCGTGCATGTGCTTTGGTATACGCATTTATCTTCGATTGTAAACGAATAGAAATAATTAAAACCTCGCGGTATGCCAAGCTAATGAAGCAATATCTCGTTTTATGGAGCTGTGGTGTAAGAGCTCAAAAGGCTGTCAATATTACCAAAGAGGTCTTGCAATTCGTCCTGGTTAATACCCAATATATCGTCGTTTCGGTTGGATGGCATGATGTGATGATAAGCATGGTGCGTTTAAATAGCTTTCGTTGTGGTTGTCTCATTCGTCCATGAAGCACCATTGTGTCTCGTCAGCGTCCGCTAGAAACAGTTCAACCTTGTTGACAAGTTGTCCTGTATAGAGTCAGATGCCTTTCCACTACGCCGTTTTCTGCTCTACGGCTCGATCCTAAACGGCGCGCTTTGCTAGTAGCCTAAGAACTTACCAGCGACTCCCCATCTCTTAGCAAAAAAGTGCAATGACGCAAATATGTTGTGAAATCTTGTGTCAGCTTCAGGGATTAGATGCTCGAGGTGGCTCAGGACCATGAGGCAGTGGTATGCCGAGTATGGCGTGACAGGTGAGCAGGGAGCGAGAAGGTGAGGGCGATGGGCGAGTTGGTCGTTCAAGTCGGTTGTAGTGTCGGCAATGATACGAATTGTGAAATTAAGACCGGCGATGGCTTTAGGGGCGATGTCATCGGCGGTTGGAGAAAAGGGTCCTGCAGCGGATATGGTGTTGGCCGCGCGAAGCTGGCGACAGTAAAGGAACAGAAGGAGGCTAGGTCAATTGTCAGTTCGTTTCAAGAACTAGGAAAGAGACATAATTTGGCTGTGCTTCTTGTCCCAGGGTCCGTCTTACCATGTACAAGTGGCGAAACACTCGTAGAAATCTCCCCAACGAGAAGTCTGCATGATCATAGCCTCGACAAGAGCACGTGTTGCAATATCTAGCTCGACATACTCCTCTAACAAGGCACTGGGGTTCCCTTGGGGTTTCGGAGAATAGGCTCTTGTATAGAGCATTGCACATTGACAATTTCTTTGGAATGGCCCCAGAGGTACCGAAGGGGCCACGCTCGCAGGGTGTCGCTGAACAGAACGCGTGGGCGATTGATTCTGATTGTGCCAAATGAGATTGCTTGTTGGCAGTAGATCATCGGCGGCTGGGGACGGCACTTGAAGTGGCATATGGATGAGAGAACAATCGACATGAATGAGACGATCGAGAACGAAAAGACTCCAGTAGACACAGCGACGTTCTTCCTCCTCATAAGGAATATTGGCCTCTCGTTCAGCTTCGATATACTTTCCAGGGCCGATGCGCAGGACCATGGCCATGGTGTTTGCATCTCCAATACTCACATAGGCACGCATTACATCACCGTGGCCAAACTCAAAGAGTGCCAGCAGGATGGAACATTGGACAAGTTCAATGCTAGGAGCAGAAAGACCACGTAAGACGCTCAGGACTCGTTTGGCGGCCCTGTAAGCTGGCATCTCGATCATGTCCTTACCCTCATTAACGTTGGTGCTCGCGGCAGCAGCTTCATCATCGTACTGAGAGACGAGCTGCATGCAAACGATTAGGAGGGCAACAGCAGGGTCGCGGGGTCCCTGATCGGCATTGGAGCTGGCCCCGGACCCTAGGTTGTCCGTGCGGATGGCAAAGAGTTCCGGATGGATTACAGAGAACCAGGGATTCATAGTTTCAAAGTAGCGCTCGGTTGCCTCGCGCCAAGGAATGTTGCGTGATGACAACAACGCCATTACCATTGAGCTGGAAACATCAAAAGCAGGGTCAAATATACCCTGTCCATATGCTTCTTTGGGTGTAGATCCTGCAAGATATCCAGGTTCCACAACAGCGGTTGTTGGGGCCGTGTAGATAAAATCATAGGAGCACGTAGTTGCAAGTCTGGCGAGTTAGTCAAAGGAGATCGGAAAATCGAGTTGCAAGGGCAGTTACACACCTCGTACAGCGAGAACAAGCAGGCAATGCTTTATCACATTTCTTTTTGGTACGAGTACACTTTTCACAGGCTCTGTGTGCACGTTCAGGCTCCATTGGAGACTCAGAGCCCCGTGAAGATGACACGGAGCGAGACATAATGGTTCTTCTTCTGGGATCCGTGGTGGCTGATATGTAGCCCGTAAGATGGGCTTGTACTTTGAGGAGGTAGAGTGTGGTGGGTGTAAGTTAAAAAAGGACTTATGCTGACTACGCTTTTATTATGTCAGACAGCAAGGAGGTAATGGAAGAATTTGAGCTACCTAGACAGAGTGGTTTGATAGGCGTATACCGTGAGCAGGAGCAAGATATAGATATAAATGTGAGTGTATGTGTACGTGTTGTTGAGCTTGATGCAAGCTTGAGACTGTGGTCTGATATTGATAATGAGACTGATGGTATGGAAAGAGAGGAGGAGAACCGAGACATTGAGGCCGGGAACGAGGGCTATTTGACGTTGAGTCTCAGTACGAAGAGAAAATGATGCCCCCCCGGGCCACAGACTTGATTAGATGTCGATGGGTCTCTTGATGCTTCCAGGCCTGGGGCCAGAATAGGCCGAGGGGTGGTTGCAGATACGCACTGCAGAGAGACCACAGCAAATACGCAGCACAGCGGGCGGTAGGTAACTGCACGCTGTACGCTATGCCGTGTTGTACATACGGCACTCTAGATGGCGAACCCGGTAGATGGGCGCCGGGTGCCAGGTGCAAGGTCAAGATTGACAGGGACCAAACCAAGGATGACGTCTAATCGGTTAGTCAGCCACTGCAGGGGGCGATGGTGATGGAGCCCAAGGCTGTGAGAAGAAGGCTGAAGATGTTGATTTGAAAGGATAAGGTAAATATTGGAAATTGGACAAAAAGGTAATGGGGCCTAACTAAAGAAGAAAGCAGACAGCAGAAAGAGCGGGGGCACAAGGGCCTGCCAGCTCAGGGATGATTTGAAATAAGGTGTAATGTCGCAAGTAACCTGAAAGGGAAAGACACAGGAGCCAAAATCCACGAAGCAAGCAGGAACATGGACAGCACATGCCTGGTGGACGGAGAGTTTGAACTAGGTACCTACTTACTTCCCTTACTTACAGGATATCGATCATGGAATGATTCAACTACAGCCCTAACGACCTGGTATTAAACCCAGACGACGACTGCAGAGATGGCTTCCTCAAGAGGCATGATTAACCCTTGAAACCCACTAGTGGGGAGAGATACAGGGCCTAGATTGATTGACTACTCAATCAGTAAGTACATGTTGCGCTGCTTGAAGTCTGAGAGCAACTAGGTACCCATCTAAGATCGAATCCATCCATCAATCACATCTCATGTGTCCGAAATGCCGGGTCACGTTGCAAATCCCCCCTCCCGATTCCCCGGAGAGACCGTTACCTCTCAGCCCAGTGAGGCCATGGTCATGTCATGCCCATGGTGGATGCATCCCCCCATCTACAGCGATGTCATTTGCAGGTTAGCGCGCCCGGACATTACGTGCTACCCAAGCAGCCAAGCTTACCTTACGCTTAGAATTAGGTGTTGTAGTTTGAGGGTACGGACTCTCCGCTATGGGAGTTGGGGTTGCGGGTTGGTTTGAATTAATCATGCCCATGTAAGCAAGCTTGATGACAATGTTCAATGATTTTCTGAAGCAATCAGTCCCTCAGATCTCGATCATACATGAATCGACTTTATATCAAGTCACTTACAAAGCATCTTCAAACTGAACCTTTCAAGCTCATTCTAGCATCAGCTTCGATCGTTCGCGATAGGAACTCTAACGCTTATGACATCACCGCCTCGCTGGCCCCTTGGGTAGCATTCATAAAGATCAAATGCCACCATGCGACCTTTTTCTTTTTCGTACAGACAACACGAGAACCCATCATATTCTAATAAAAGAAACACTGGGATCTGGTGAATTTTTGTTTACCAATCGCAAGCTAATACCTTTCCATTGAAAGATCAACTAATGCACCAACAATGACCTCTCTCAAAATCCCTGGATGTTAACCCATCCCCACTTGACTGTTGCGATCCATATTCAAGACAGTGGAATTGACTTTGCTTTAACTACCTGAGACAGGAAAGAGACCTATCGAGATTGCGAATCGACTGACTCTGCCACGATGGATACGAGATGTCACTTCCAGCAGGGCTATGTGGACTAAGGTGCCTACTTCCTTCGCGCTCTTGATGCTGGTATAGCCCTGTCTTATCTTTCCATGTTCAGCAAGTAGTTGCTAAATTAAGCTCACGAGGCTCTAGTGCATGTCTGCATAACTACTAAGGTAGCCGTTGGATATTTCCCGCAACACCAGGAGATAAAAAGAAAGAAAAAAAAAAAGCCGCGATATCAGTCAGATACCTGCCCATCAAACTGAATACAGAGCATGCCATATACACACCCTAATAGGCAGGTAAGCGAGAGGACCCCCTGCCCTGTCAGAGCAAAATCCGAGCGTTTTCGGAATTAACATGAACTACTGACTCACCCGGCGTAAATCCCGTCATGGCAGCTTGATCGACTTATCCCCGCCTTAGGTCTTGCCTAAATAGCTGCAAATGTCGATTGTTATTTACTTGATGTGCAAACTTTCAGTTTGATTGAAACCAAAGTCCATTGTATGGAGAATATTGTTTGCCAATCATTTGGTGACTAGGTCCATTGATCCCTCAAAAGCAAACCCCCTGCGTTAACTCAACACGTATATAACTACCGATACGCAGCTCCAGAAGTTGAATTTGTGCAGTTGATCTCCAAAACACTCCCCGAAGACGGATCCAAGACCTATTTTTATACCAGACTGACACTCGGATCTTATCGCTGGAGTCAATACTCACCTCCAACGGCCATCAAAGCCTATGACATCCACAGAGGTGCTCCATCACATCCGGCCCGGCACCACTGCCGATCTCACTGTGGCTACAGATCTCTATATGCAAAGCTTCGACAAAGAAACTCTGCTCGACTTCATGTTCCCAACCCGTCACAGCGACTCAACTCCCTTTCGTGAGTGGGTTACTCGGCGCTTTCGTACACGCTACTGGACGCCCGGCTACGTTCTCACTATGCTGGATGATGCCAGAGGCAGGACTGTGGCATTTACTTGGTGGCATATACCGGACGATTCCTTATCTTTCCGTGAGCGATGGCTCTCATTTCGTAAGACTCTCCATTAAATCTCTGCCAACTATTGCATTGTCCACTCAAACCCTGCGAAAACCAAAACCTGATCGAAGCATTAACTCATCCAGACGCTTGGGTTGCCCCCATCATGTTGGCGGCGCTGAAACTACATTCCTACGTGTTTCCTCTTCGCCACGTAGACTCTCATCGACTTGGTATTTACGACCGCGATTTCAGTACCATTGAACCCGACATACTCAATTCTCCTCGGCGTCGTTCAGCTTGGTATTTGTCTAGCCTTGGGGTCTCTCCTCATGTCCAAGGTAGTGGTTATGGTTCCCTGCTCCTTCAGCATGGCTTGGAGGCGGCCGATCGTGCAGGAGTTCCCACTTGGCTGGTGGGATTGCGTGGGCTCGACAGATTCTACAAGCGTTTTGGCTACGTAGAAGTGGCCAGGGCCAATGTTGGGGAGTTGAAGGACTGGGACGGTGGCATCATCATGTTCAGGGGGGATTGATCATCAAGACTATGCACCCATCGCTAGATCTTACAGCATTCACGAATATCTCTCAGCAAAGAAAAACGGATATCACATAGCGTCATCAACCAGAGTCTCATTACGATTCCTCATCGAAATATCGTTCAGATGGGTCATTCATCTATCATCTATCTGGCTACTTATGGCCGCTTCAGGCCAACAAGGCTATGAACTTTATGTCATAAGCATCTCCATAATAGCAAATCCCATCCCAGACGATGGAGCAATCATAATAATCATGGCAGTAACAAGCAAATATCCGCCCTGTGCGAAGTCATGCCGAAACATGCCTTATTGTTGTGTCGTTGGGCTTCCTGAGGTGCTCCAGTGGGCGATATACCCAGACAACGGGCCGGAAATACCAAAAAAAAAAGGGGGGGGTTCCGATGGGGGGGGGGCGGACGAATGTCAAGGGAGCAACGTTTTTCAGTTCAGCAGTGATGAACAGCCCCAGGCGGGGAAGCAACGCAAATTAGATAAATTCATTATCGTCGTGCAGCTCGTGTCAAAAAGAAAAAGGAGGTAAAGCATGAAGCTACGCAAGTGGCACACAAGGCCAGGCCTCAAAAACCTCGCTCCCTACCATCATTCAGGAAATCTGTTCCTTACTGGTGATTGCTATCGGAAGCTCGATCACCATGGAAGTTCTCTTCATCGTCATTGGTTGAAAGATTGTGTTGATAGGCCTGGTAATTGCCTCGAGCGAGAGTGTCGTCGAACTCGGCGGTGGATGCGTAGCCGTGTTGGTATCTTGGACGGTAGGCCACTGCTGGCTGCGTGGTCGGAACACCTTCATCAGTAACCAGATCAGCAACGCCATACTCTGGAACTTCTTCTTTGGGGTACTGGCGCGAGGAACAGAGGCTAGCTTGGTCAACGGAAGCCAATGTGTGCTGCTGGTATTGGTTCATAGAGCGGCCGATCCTAGTGTTCGACCCAGTCTCGGCAGAAAACCAGTAGGGCTGGTGGATTTGTGAACGCGGAGCATCAGAGTACGGGCGCTCGTCTGCCATCGAATGATGCAGCGAGTTGTCTACTCCGCTCATTCTAAGATGAGAATGACGTTCTTCCGGGACTTGATACGAGTAAACCGCTCCTGGAGTCTGAATAGGAGGAGTCCCGGAAGAGGGATAATTGAGGGGCGCGGGCGTGAGTTGAGTATTGACTGTCGACGCAAGGAAGTGGTGGTTGTCTCGGCTGTGTTGGGCAGCATAGCCTGCGGTGCTATACATCTGATCCGCTCTGACCACCATTGGCATAGCAGCGGTATGGACCGAGAGGTTTCTATCAGTCAGTACGAATCCATTTGGGCCATAGTGGTGATCGCCGCTATAAGACTGTTGGTAATAAGGAGCGTTATCGCAGGAATCTCGGTGATCGGTCATCGGCGCCTGCATCTGACGATTAATACTGGAATAGCTCATTGAAGGTGCTGTTGGGTTCTGACTGTCATAGTACCCAAGACTGGGTTGTCGATCAGTGTCTGGCCCGATGCCAGAGTTCGCGAGAGGAGACCGAGAGCCGAATGAGTAGGGAGCAGTCCGGTTGGACATATCGTCGGTATACGATCTGGAGTGATGAACAGGTCGAGACCCGTTGAAAACAGCAGGAGGCGTGGGCGACGAAGATGATTGCTGGCTACTATGCTCACTCGTAGATCCCTCTTCTTGAACTGGTTCGAGGGGCGACGATTCCTTGACGAATGGGAGGGGGGATGGAACTGCCTCCCCAGCCATCAACGAACGGCCGGATTGGCTGCTGGCCGATGTCTGATGGATCTGGACCTGAGCAAGCGGGTTTGCGAAAGCATCAACAACTTCTGGGAGGAACTCGACAGGAGGGACTTCCCTGAGACCCCCGTGATTGATCTCTTGGCAAAGACGTTCGACAACATCGAGGATCTCATCGTGCGTCTTGCCTTCGCCAAGGCTCTGCATGATCCAGTGAGGGATGGGATCCCGACTGTTCGTATCCGCCAGGCGCTTAACCTCACGTCTTCGAATCGAGAATGTCCAGGATCGGATGGTGATGCCCTCCTGATTAGTTCTGTTGACATTCTCCAAACCTCGGCTCCAGAAGATCATTCGGATGATCTGCTCGTACACCATTTCGATCTGAGTCGAGCTGAATCTAGCACCAGTTCGGTAGCGAATCCTCTGATAGTGCTTGCGACACATGCAAACCCAGACACGCTCCGGGATGCGACGAGTGCAGACCTTGTTGCGGCCAAAAAGATGAGAGATGACCTTGCGAGGAACCGAATCAGTGTCACAGTCGGAAACTGCCATGCAAATATCACCACCCTTGAGGGGAACGTTGATGGCTATATTTCCAAAGGTACGGCATGCTGCAATAACACGATCATTTGGGTTGGCATGGGACGCTGCCTGTCCAGTTGCACCTACATCTATTAGTTGACTTCAACCGAGAATACTGAAAAAGGAAAGATTACCTGGAAGAGTCCCGTCGGACTGCATCCTCACAGTCTCCTGGGGCTGAAAGGGCGACTTTGTTGATGTGCTACTAGGTGTAGGGGAGCTCTCTCTCGTATTGATCCAGGGATACTTCTCGATGCCAAGACGCTCGTGAGACGTGCTGATCTGTGGTGACAGTTGTGTTGGAGGATGAAGATGCCGGGACGTAAATTGTGGCAGAGAAGTTGGTGCTTGAGGAAAAGAATGACCAGAGCCCTGGGCGGGGTTTGGTGCCGAGATGGTTCGCTTATGAACGCGATCTAACGAATTCAGAAACTGATCTTTTGGCTTCAAATAGCTGAGCAAAAGGAACAGGAGTCAGTATATTCCTGGTGGGAAATTTATAGGTTGAAAGTGACAATAGACAGCAAGGGGAATGTGCGAGGACATGGGGTGTGAAAGCTGGACGGAGGGGCTCGAAGAATGGAAGCGTTTTTCAGACTGCCTGAGCAGAGTTACAACACGCAGTGTGATTCACCGGCTCGAGGCCAAGTTGGTAGTGGGACAATGCTGCTTTCGAGGGCCAAGTTGCTCCCGCTTAACGGACCTGCTTTTATGACTAAACATAATCCATCCGAGATGCGTTTGCAGCAGGCAATCGTTTTTCTCCTGGCAATAGGAACATTGTCTGTTATTCACGAACTGCCAAAGAGGCACCCCTGAGGCTTCTAGATGATTCGACACTGCTTTTTCCCTTTTTCTTTTCGGGGGGGAGGGTGCAAGCAAACGATACCCATGCATGATTTGGACGATTGGCAAGGGGCAAACAGTGAACGAACCTCGATTCATGCTGACAGCCACCTTCTTCTGCATAGAAAAAAAGAGACGTTGACTTACGTTTGATCTTCTGATAAGTGGTTATGCTTTCTTCTCATCATCCTCGCCTCTAGAATCGTGTCAGATGGGCTACCCGAGTACAACGACCTAGCACCATTGGTAGGCTGACGGGTGTGCGACTTCACAGACAAACCGACTGTTACTGGAGGGAGAGGCGCTGTGATCCTTGGAAGGCGCTCCAATTTTGCTTCCAGGTCAGCGATGCCAGAGCCTACCGTATTGCTCCCGTTGATGGTAGATACCGATGAGAATCTGGAATGGCCAGCAGAGAAGGTCGATGAGCAACACGATGAGAAACTGCTGCGGCTGTCCGATATCTTATGGCTTCCTGAAGCTGGAGACGTATTGTATTCCGTCCAGAGACTTGATCTTGATTCGTTTTAGCATGTGTACTCCTGCGATTGGCCGCCAGTGTGCAAAACATCATTCAGAACAGCAACACTAACATTTTGGCAGGACCGCAACTCACCTTCTCATGTGCTGAGAAGCACGGCGCTCGCTGTGGCTGCTATTCTTGTTAGTCAAGCTATATCGTCGAATACCGGCCGGATTATACACCAGCGTGGAAGAAAAGGGGTACCTTTTCGGCGCCCAACCGTCTTGATGGACCTCTGGAGTGGAAGGCATTCTACTTGAAGCAATGTCAACCTCAAGCTTCTCATGCCCGTACCGGGTTTTGGTTTCGAGTTTTCTTACCGGACTGGTAGCGCATATGATCCTGTGGAACCAGGAAGACTTATGCTGGCTGATGTATCCATTGATACTTGTCTGGAGTGGTAATTCGATGCATTCTGACGTCTTGCAGATTCCTGCTGCTCCTCCCAAGTCACCGGCGCGAAAGGGGGTCGTGAGGAGTTTTGAGGGCCAATATCCCTTGGCAGAGAGTAGCCACCAGCATCCCAAGGCGTACGAGTTCGACTATCGGATCGCACACTGGATGTTCTGGACTGAGCGCAGTCGGGTGATGGAGTTGACAGTGAAAATGATGGGCCTCTCTGTTCCTTCTGCTCGCTGAAAAGTTGTGGGCTTTCTCGACTATCTCTCGCTTTCGTGTCTAGTTCGCTGAACTGATTTAAAATTGACTCAATCTTCATGATTAAGGTCTGTGTAGAGACTTGTCCGAACAGAAGCCGTATTAGAATGATTCGAATGATTATGGAACTGTCAGAATATGCAATTGGCGCCACTTGATTCGTGAAAAGACTGATAATGGGCGTATGTATTTGATTACAGCATCGGGATCCGAAGTCGTCTTTCTGGTAATCGTAGAGGCTCAGGTGATCACAATCTCATGATAACTGCCGCAAGGTACTAGAAACAGGATCAACCTCGTTCCGGAATAATTATCGATTATAATGCGAAGATACTCCACAGATAGGTGAAGGAACAAAGTAAAGAGGATGAAAACGAAGTGATTGGAGAGACAATTCGTTTAACTGTCAGGGGGACGGCTGTTTCTTGTACGTCTTCCAGAAGACTGGGGTCTAGGTTCGGTGCAGAATAACATGAAACTTGGCAGACGGATGCTATTTGTTTTTTTCACGCATAGCGAAGGGGTGAGAAGAGTGACAGGAGTGTCAGATAGATCGAGTCTGACCCGCTGAACCGAAGATTTCAGGTTGCCGATCTTGTCAAGGACCAGGATTAATTATTGTTCTATCGCTGTCAAAAAGGGTCCTCTCAGCTTCAGATCATCGGAGCCGCTTTGTTCAAAGGTCAAGGCTCCAATTAGTGACGGAGGAAGACAGGGAGGATGCTCGAAAGCAGGAGATCTGATTCAGACCCAGTCGCTATGTCAGGGCTTGGTAACATGCGACAAAGTAGGGGAATGGGAAGAGATGAGACGAATCCACTACGACAGAAAAGTATGTAGGTCGCTAAAAGCTATGACTAGATGGATAACGCATGAAGCGGCCGGTAGGGTTCTGAAGACGGTAGTCGTTTGGGGTTGGGACTGGGGTCGGGGGGTCAAGAACGGAGGGCTGAAGGGTGTGGATCAACGAGACGAGGATCAAGGATCAAGGACTCTTATGAGATGTCTGGAATTAGTAGGCTAAACTGGCCAGGATTGAAGTGCTGAGCAAAGCAGTCCGTGATGGAAATTCTGGAAATGGAGATGGCCAGAAGAGAAACCAAAACGTATACTTGCAGCGGGAACCAGCATCATCATTGTAATTATGCTAGGCTATGAGTGCGGCAGTCGGTCCTAGCCCGGTGGCACAGGCACGGTGCTGCATGCGTTAGGATAATGACTAAAGAGATGCGTCCTTCCACTATTTTCGAGCTGCTCCAAAGTCAACAACAAGCATTCGGGTAGCCGTCAAGTCATAGGTCATGGTGCTAGGCTGCTGAGTCCCAGGCTTGTGAGACGAGGATGGGGACCATCCTAGCATTGTGGCGCCAAGGAAGCCTGCACTGAAGAATTCGAGAAGCAGTCGAGCCAAGCCTGTCCATTGTTTTGCCGGCAGTTTCGAGCAACAGTCGCCCTTGCTGGTTAGCATGACGGGTTGGTGTAGATCATGGCGTTGAGAGCCCCGTCCGAACCATGATCTCCACAAGGGGATAAATTGTCCGTACCAGGGTCAAGGAATTCCAGTGCTGAGAGACCTAAGCCAGCCAGGGTACTTCAGGATAGTCGGTCCAACCTCCAGACGAACATTGAAATCAGTATTTGGATGGATAATTCATCCCACAACAGTAGTCGTGCCCCTTTTTAAACCCTCCTTGCTCGGTGAGGGTCGCCGAGAGGCGCAGCGGCATGTTACCTGCAAGTTGACACATACTCCATTGCGGGAAAACTTCCTTCAGGGGTTTCGGCCGCCTAATAAGCTTCCTGAACATGGTTGTGTCACAAACCTAGACAGTCTGGGGTGTCACTCATGCTGGCAGAATGAAAATTGGCAGGTATGAGACCGTTGCGGCAGCATTGGAGTAGCTGAGCCTGGGACGCGCACAAGCATATGATAAATATGTCTCAAACCGGGAGATGCCGAGGCCAGGCACTGGGACAGGATGAGTGAGAAAGGATGTACTATTCAAGGTGGCCTCTTACAGCATGAAAGTTCATCTTGGTCAAGATAAGACGAAAAGAAGACAGGGACGCACTGGGTACTCCCCTCAGAGGCCATGCTACTCCGCATGGCCGCCGCCACAGGCACTCGGCCATGATGTTGACGTCGTCCCGTCGGCTGCCGTGCCCGCGTCCATTGATACTGACAAGTTCGTTCTTCAGAACAAGTTGTGGGCAATGCTCCGAGACTGTCCCGTCAAGAAGGCAGCGTCTCCGAGGATCTAGCTGGCAACTATTAATTGAGAGGTGACTTAAAGCAGCAGTGATTTTTTCACCAGAGGATGTTGAGGCGATCACCAAGGTAGTTGTTGTTTGGGCTTATGTGTTGATAGATGTTGCGCATAAGGCGGCTACGTAGAGCTGTGCCCAGATAAGGCGAACTGGATGATGCTGGCTAGTACCTAGTGATCCCGGATAGATCGCGTTACATTGGCCGATGCATTGTTAGTCGACGACCCAGTTGTTGTTGAAATTAGGGTGCGTTCCCGACATTTGTCTATTGGCTTGCCGTTGTTGAGAGGTAACTTGCTGGGCGGGTCAGGCACATGTGTATTGATTGGGCGCATGCAAGAAACACAAACGGCGTGGTGTTCTTCACTGTGGGCCCCAGATGGTGTTGAATAAGGTACCCAGAACCCTGAAGTTTTAGCCTCAATCTGGACTGACTGCCTGCATTGCCAGCGGAGCGGAGAGAGACGAGAGTTAAGAATAGGTAGACCAAGGGAGCCAGGGGGTCGCAAGCTGTTCCAAGTCGGGATATCATGCCCCACGCTATCTGCTCGCGACGTCGCAGCACGATAGAGATACAGACGTAGGCCCAGAAAATCGTGGATTGGAAGGGGGTTCTGTTCACGGAAGAGGCTCAATGGTCGAGCCACCAACCAAGAGCAAGGCTAAGCAGTTTCAGCTTTCAGCCGAGTCCGTGGGAAGCTATACCAAGAGGGAAATTGTATGCGCAGGCTTGAGCTGATTTAGCCGCTGTGATGGAAGACAGCCGGCAACCAGGGTAAATTGCTTGCAGGTGCTGTGTCGTCTCTTCGGTCCGGCTTCTATCTACCATTCTATTGTTAGATAGATGTTAGTGTGGTCAAGACTTGGCGTGTCTGTAGGGGTGGATGAATGCAGCTAAAGATCTTTGGTTCCTGCAGCAGGACAACCTTGGATTCCGACGTGAAAGGAGAGGGAGAGCGCAATAATATCTTGACTCACTATCCGTAATGCCCATTTGATAGGCGCATTACCTGTCAGGGTTGGTAATTAGCTGTTATGGTTACAGTCAAATTAGACACGACGAGATGGCGAAGTTCCCATCAGCCAAAATCAAAGGGTCGTCCCACTTCAATCAAAAGCTTGTTCCAAGTGAAAACTCAGCCAGAACAACCAGCATCTACATGAAAAACTGGAAGCTGCATCATGAATCAGCAGCTGAGTCACTTGTTACTTAATCTGGTAAGGTTCTTGCTCGAGGAGCTTCTGCTGGGATCTAGTACATACAACTCATAGGGCAATTGTCAAATTAAATTGGTTGATCTCCAGAATCTCCATCTCTGATGATTTCTCCCTCCACCTCCATCACACCACACACGACCGGTTCCCCAGATGTTTCCAGCTATTCCATTCTTGAGATGGCGCAGCCGCGTCAATTTGCTAGCGTGTAGCCACACCGAGCGGGCTGCTAGCACGGACAGCTGCTGATACACGCTTCGACTCATTATAGATCCGCGCTGGTTCAGCTCGAACCTTTCGTCTCATGTGTCAGTTTGAATCTCGGTGGTTCTCAGCGTCAGGGGGGCTGGTTCATCTTCGAATAGACTATCCGTACACTCGCATTAGGCCACCAACTTCTCAAACACGGACACCCCCTTCTCCCGAGACCTGGGACATGTGCTGGTACATGTACCTACTCACTCACTGCATCGCGGAGACACGGCTGTAAATAGACTAAACCGGGAGTTTGTTAGAGCCGGGACGAAGAGACGAAACGCCGCCAGAAGCGCGGTAGACGACGACTAGAATTCATGGCCGCGGCGCTGGTTTGACCCTCCAAATCCCCATCCAGCCCAAGTTCAATCCTTCGCGGGGCCCACCGCGGCTGCGCTGCCCGCAAAGCCCTGGCTGAAGTCATCTCCTCTCATCCAGTTTGGATGAGCTGCATTGACAGTAGCAGGTCCATCTTCGAAACGTCTCTGACACTTCTCGGAAAGTCGATCCGATGAGGAATCCTACATGCGAAGGAGACAGGGTTGATCAGCCAAGGTCAACATCCAGCCACTCAGCACCCCTGTTACGCTCCGCCCGCATATGGTTCAACGTCCCGGCAAAGCATATCATGACGCTGAACTTTGTTGGTTGCAGAATGGCCTACAGAGAAGCCATGCTCATCCTGGTTACCTGACTGTCCTGCTACTCTATCTTCCGTCATGGTAGGGGTTGTTTGACAGGTGACAATTTTTGTCTCTTCTCTTCTTTGTCTTCCTTTCCTTTTTTGCGCACCATTTGCAGATCCTCCAATGTCCCGCCCCCTCTGGGAAACAACTCAGGCCTCTGTTTTTAGAAGTACCCCAGCATATCCACTGGTCTGGTGCCGTACATTCACACACATCCAGTTTGAAATCCTTGAATCCTAGATTTCCCAACGTTTCTACATCGACGGACCGAAGTCTAAGTGGCGCGTTCTGTCTATGAATACAGTACCTAAATGACTATGAACAGGGAATATACCTGACACCGTCCAATGGAGTTTCCGAGCAGTAAAAGCAACCAGGGTTTCGCTCTTTACGGTTTCGCCTGTGAGTGCCTTGATAGCAACAGATTTGTCTAAACATCAAATTCTAAGGCATACAACCCACAATAACTTGACCTAATATATTCTTTGTGAATGGTGACACGAGCTGGTGCCATTGGATTTACAAACCTCTCGACAGGAAAATGGAACTCAAAGGCCAGGCTCTTTATGCCGCCCACTTATCAGTCTCCCCAAACCACGAAATGCCATTTGCCCATCGCGATATGACCTGACACTAATGCAGGTCCTTCCATCCACCGTCCTGGGCGTTGCCGGCTCCTTGCCCCGGGCTCAACTGCATCAAACAAAATGATCTCTAGCCCTCCAACGCGATGTGGGCACGACGCTAACTAGGGGATCTGCAGGCAACTGAAGAGGTTGTTTCAGGTTGGGCAGTGGAAGGCAAGAACACCGAAGCTTTCGAGGCACATGTCCTCCAAAATAGCATCCGTGCCGCTCTTAGACACGCGCGATGCAGCTTGAGACATAAACAAATACTAATAGTTGGGTGGATTTCATGTCCAAATCTGGCTGATCAAGAGGCATCATAGCAGCAAAGCAATGGCTTGAATATCAGGATATCCTGACTTTTGGCCTTGGTAGCAAGAATCACCAAGAACCGAATTTCAGGAACTCTCTCCATTATTAGCCTTTCGTTGGCCTGTATCGCAAAGGTTTTCGCATCTTCATTGTACTTTAGGTTTAGTACGTCTACATGGTTTGCAGGAACCCTGGCCCTGGAAATGTGTTTCATGCCGGGGTTGCTGGCCTCTACGCACTATTAGACTATTTCAAGATCCGGGCGACCACGGAACAGTATCAAGCTCACGCCTCTAGATCGACAAGTATCCTCAAACGACATGCCATGGAAGAGAGTACAGTGTGCAAATTTGCTACTTGCTACCTTGTCCCTTAGCCTCGATCCGTGGTCTTGCGCCTCACGGATTCATCAGAGGCCATAAAGGGGCGCGTATCATCTGCAACGTAGAACAACTCATTACCACAGACCGACGCCCAGCAATTGATAAACTGACGGGTTTTCAATGAACAATTAGTACAAAGAATCGAGGCCAGATGGCCCTTCACCCCACTGCATGCCACCTGATTCATGACATACATGTCAAGTCTCCAAGAAGTCATCAGAGGTCCAGAGTAAACTTCTCGGGCTTCTGATGATCAGCCGTCCCATCAACTAAGCTTGTTTGACGTTAACTTCCAGGGATAAGGCTCGTTGAAAACCCACTTGCTAATTATCAAAACGAAGATCGGCACATGTGGAAACCCCCCAAGATCGATCATTTACAAACAACCTCACACCTGGTCCATCACTTGCACCTGAACTTCGGTGTGCAGATTTGAGCAGACAAGGCTTGTACGATAGTATAAACGCCGATATTCCAAATTGAAGCAGGAGGAGGGGGAGCTGAGGATCCAAGAAACAGCTCTAGCCCCTCGAGATGGGTGGTTGATCCAAGCTTCACACTTCGTGGGCTGCATATGTACGGCTCCAGCGGCTTCCTGTAGGTAAATATTTCCATGAAAGCCCAGCTCATCCATTAGAAAGGGGCAAATGTGCTCGCTCTCATTGGTTTCGATCGCATCTCTTAGTTTTCTGAACGATGAAGAGCTACCCCCTCCCCCTTTCCCTTCCCCCTTCAGACTCTTGGACAACATTGCAGTAGGGTTACTCTGCAGAGGGTCTCTAAGAAGATATAGTGAGGCGGCTGCTACTTTCGAGGTCTTTGGCAGCGGAATGCCACAATGGCGATGTGTCTGTTGGCAAAGTTTGGGTCTCTCATCATTCACCACTTACGTCGTCAGCGTCCTGCGGCCAGTTTTTTGTCCGCCAAGCAATGTTAAACGGAAGCAACCTGCTTCTTCAGCTTTGCTAACTTTGCTAGCTTGGCAATAACGGGTGGCAAAAGTCTGGTCGTCCGTGTGCGTTTGTTACGTGAAGTCAATTTTTCCCTGCCACATGCCCACTCT